CGTCCGTGTCGTCGTCCGTGCTGGCGTCCGTGTCGTCGTCCGTGCTGGCGTCCGTGTCGTCGTCCGTGCTGGCGTCGGCGCGCACGTCACCGCCGAGTTTGAGTGCACGAAAGTTCTCGTACTTGGTGATGAACGCCCCAAGCTCGTCCAGCTCGCGGTCGCGCTTTCGCTTGTTGCTGGAAGCTACAAGCTCTGCGAGGCTTTCGTTAAATGCGACAAGACGCGGACCGAGGGCGACGAAAGTTGCATCGATGGTATCATGAGTGGCGTCAATGGCGTCCAAACGGGCGTCAATGGTGTCATGAGTAGCGTCAATGGCGTCCAAACGGGCGTCAATGGCGTCATGAGTGGCGTCAATGGCGTCATGAGTGGCGTCAATGGCGTCCAAACGGGCGTGGAGGTTCTTGATGTCTTGCTCCAGCGTCAAAATGGCGTCCTGGACATAGGCATTCGAAACCTTCAATTTATCCTGGACGTCTTGTTGCTTGGACTTCTCCATGTTTGCGTTCTCGTTGCTAATCGAACGGTCGAACGGAATCTCAGCCGTCTTCATCGCCAACGAATGCGTCACGTCGACACTGTTCGAGTCGCGATGGCATGCGGCGATCGGGTCGGGCTTGGCCGAGTTGGTCGCGTCTGCTTTCGGCTCCAAGCACGCAGGACCCACGCTCGGACGAGCGCTGTCGATGGAGAAGAAGCGCGAGCGCCGGCGCACCGTCCGAACAAGTGTCGAGAACATCGCGGGCAAGTGCAATTTCGGAAGTGCGTCTGGATCTGGATCTGAAAGTGCCCAGAAAACGGCCATGCCAAATTCGAAAAAACACACATCCAGGTGCGCCGTCGTGACGACCTCTACAATTTGATTGGCTCCCGTTGAGCGATGGCATTTGACCTTGCGACATCAAAAACGTTGGAAATTCAACGGGCTCGGTGGGGGAGGTCGGACAACAGTCGAGAGATTTTGCATACAAGAGTACAAGAGTGCTTAGGTGTCTATCTTTTAATTGAACGAAGACTTTTTTGCGCGAAGCGCGGCACGAGCGCAGCGGCGGTAGCCGGGCCCGTGCGATAGCACGGCAGGGCAAAATGAAGTCGCAACATGGTGTTCCGGCGTCGAGAACGGTCAAATTCGGTTAAATACGAGTATAGGTAGTTAGTCGTTAAAGCGCCAAGGATGCTTCTGATCGGTCGTGGCTTCGCGCTCAAACTCGTCCAGCGCCGCGTAGCAGCACGCCTTGGTCTCTGGAAAACGACCTCTACAATTTGATTGGCTCCCGTTGAGCGATGGCATTTGACCAGACAACATCAAAAACGTTGGAAATTCAACGGGCTCGGTGGGGGAGGTCGGACAACAGTCGAGAGATTTTGCATACAAGAGTACAAGAGTGCTTAGGTGTCTATCTTTTAATTGAATGAAGACTTTTTTGCGCGAAGCGCGGCACGAGCGCAGCGGCGGTAGCCGGGCCCGTGCGATAGCACGGCAGGGCAAAATGAAGTCGCAACATGGTGTTCCGGCGTCGAGAACGGTCAAATTCGGTTAAATACGAGTGGCAGGTCCATTTCGTGATTGTTGACTTTGTAACAACGTTACAAGTGCGAGAGCGTACTTAACCGACCCGCGAGTGCAGCGAATGCGTGTGGTAACGACTTCGTCGATCAATCCCGAGCGTAGCGTGTGCACTTGCGATAGTGCACGGCAGCGTGGCAGGATAATGTGCGCGATAGCGCAATGTATGGGCGTAGCGAATGTATTTGGTATCGTTGGGGCCAGCTGCGATAGCGCGGGACCTCAATACTACGCGTGACGTTATTAGAATCGTATCTGGATGTTACGTTCGCATTGCAGGTTTCTATTGCAATTCGCGCGCCAGGCACAGAGCAGAAGACCCGGCCATGGTGGAGCCGCCAGTCTCGGGGGCGCAGCGCAAGTGCGAGCAGCGGAATGCGAAGCTGCACGCGCCCTGGCGACATCGACTCCGATTGAGGAGGCCAAGGAGCTGAAGCGGAAGATCACCGCGAGGCAGAGGCGACGGCAGCGAACCAAGGCGGCGACCGCGACCGCCACTGCACCTCCAAGCGAAGTGCGCGCGTGTAGCGGCCGCGCCTGTCACAGTAGAATGGCTGCAAATCCGAGAAGCGATTCTTTATGCCACGTCATGAGCGTTATACATCCTGCAATGTTGATCATTCTGCGATGCTGCAGCAAGCTGTTGTGCGTGAAGCGTCCTGCTATGCAGTATTGGACCCGAGTGCCGTAATGATGCAAAGGTTGAAGCGGCTAAGAAAGAGCTATTCCCGAACGGAGCCGGCGTTGGTCAGGCCCGTCGGCGAGTGACTCAACATACCGCTGGACGACAGTTGGGCACTGGGCGAGCAACGAGTAGAGTCTTTTCCACGAGGCTTCAATCGCCTCCAGACCTTCCCAGTGCACGTGCAGCTCATAGAGTTTGGCGGCTTGATTGTTGCGATGCGCCGCGATCGCAGCCACCTTGAGCATGACACCTTGTTCCGACACATGGTCGATTATGTCTTCCGTGACGTTGAGGCTCGAGTCGGAATAGTACTTGATCCGAGACGAGTGAGCGAGTCGTTCTTCCTTGGTAATTAAATGTTGAATCTTGACCGAGAATTCGTTGACTTGAATCACCAAGTAGGGTCCGAGCCACGTGACGCGCAGCTTGGGATAACGGATGTCATCGACCCTTGACCACAGCACGTACTCGCCAACTTCAACATTCAGCGTATGCACACGCTTCGTGTCGAGTAGCTTTCGGGCCTCGCGCTCACGGTTGAGATCGAGAATCTTCTTGTGCATCTCGTGGAGGCTGAGCCGCAGCGCATCCACGTTGTTGGTAATCGTTGCCTTCGACCAGTCGCACTTGTCCCGGATCGAGTTGTCGGGACCGAGGATGACGTGCAACGGCACCGTCGGCTTCAAAAGCGTAAAGACCTCCGTTGGCGATTTCGAGCCCCCGTGTGGTTGAGATTCGCTTGCACCACCGGCAGAAGGTAGTCCCATTGATCGATCGCCAGACGATACTCACGCAACAGCACCCGGAGGACTTGTAGCAGATCGCGGTTCAGCCGCTCGATCGTGCCATTACACCATGGGCAGTACGCAAGCACAACATCATGTCGTACTTTGGTCATTGTCGCCAGCGTAGCCATCACCTCGTTCTTGAAATGCGAGCCTGGGTCCGAGATCCACGTCAGCGGCATGCCAAAGCGCTTCGCCCAATCCAAGATGGCGGTCGCAGGCTTCCGACGTCGCGCTCACACACGGCACCAATTCACAGAAGTGCGTGAGGTCATCCTTGAGCAAGAGAACGTACTAGTAGCCGCTCGCCGACTTGTCCAAATAGAGGAAATCAAAGTGTAGACCCTTGTTGCGTCGCGTAGCATGCCAAACCGGAGCATACGGACGTTGGATGATCCGAGGACCCTTCGTGTGGTGGCACAGCAGACAGCCTCTGATAAAGGCTTCGCACGTAGCCTGCAAGCCCGTCACCGAGAAGATATCTCCAATAGCGTTGCACAACGCAGCAACGCCGCGATGTCCAGCACTGCCGCAGTGACCAATGATGAGGATCCGATCCATGAGGTCCTTGGCAGCAGCTGAAATCCAGATGAGACCCTGAACCCGCCAGACGTCTCCCGCCAATGTGGCACCAGCCGGGCGATCCGCGCCCGCCTTGTCCTGACACTCGCTGATCTCAGCGAGAGTCGGCCACACCAAGCGATAACAATAACAACCCACATCTAAGCGAGATGGGGACGCATGCACAACTTTCGAAAGACATGGCGATGGTCGACGGCGGGTATGTTGCGATGGTACGCCTTTCGCAAGTCGATCTTCTCTTCTTCTCTTCTTCGCTTTTATTGGGCACGTTTGTTAGTTCCCCACAATTTATGGGGTAGTCGTCCGATGCGCCACCCACACGGCACAATGGAAAATGAATTTGACCTTGACACCATTGGAGCCTTACAAAGAATCCACCAGGTGCACCGTAGCGCAGCGGAGGTTTGACATCGCAGTGTCATTTCTGGCTGAAAGCCGGTAGCGGTCCGCTGGGCACCGCAACGAAGCGGAGGTCGCGTCCGTCGCACGCGTCCATCACAGATTCGCCATGTGAATGCGTTTCAAGGGTGCGTTGGACGTGCATAGTACAAGAGCCCGTAAGGGTGGAAGGCATCCACATTGTCCAAGCTACGACACAGACACACCGCTACGTTGTACGCGGCCCCGATACCAAACTGAAATCAAAAAGCGCGACAGCACCCTGCACAAACCTTCTACACGGATCAAACCACTGCACATGCCACGCAGAAAGACCGCTAGATGGCCCACCGGCCCTGTGCCCCACTTGATCCACGAAGACCAACTACATCCTGCCCAATAAACCCGAGGTTTGGGGCAGGTACGTTGAACTTCAATCCGTCCACCGACGAGTCCAAACTACGTCACACGTAGTACACGATCCCTCCGCTAGATTGCACGCTACCCCAATGCAAAACCTCGACCAAAGAGCTCGACCAAAACCTGCCCCAAGAACACACGAGGTTAACCCTAGTTAGTCGTTAAAGCGCCAAGGATGCTTCTGATCGGTCGTGGCTTCGCGCTCAAACTCGTCCAGCGCCGCGTAGCAGCACGCCTTGGTCTCTGGAAAACCGGGAAACTCGTCCA